TTCATGACATTGCCATTGCTGCTAATTTTATGTGTAGCATGGTAATTGAATATTTAATTTATACACATCCATCCAAGGGAATTCATCATCATTGTTTATAGCCCCTGATTCACGGGATGTCATCGCCTGATTTGGTCAATGTTAGGGAGCAGGTCGTTTTTACAATAAATTTCAATATTTTCACACAAAATATTTTTTTACTGAAAAACTGCTCATTCGCAGAGAAAATGTACAAGCACATGCAATGACAATGTCAATCACGCTTCTGTACTAAATTCGGCGGAAGTCTTTTATAATCTGGTACGAAGTTACTAAAAAAGGCGCGAACGCCCTACACTCAAAATGATCGTTTTTCCATTATAACTTTTTAACGTATTTTAACGAAGGCTTCTAATTATTATCCAAGATAGTCTAAATACCGATTAAAATATTTCTTACTTCAAACAGATACGCCGTCTTTTATTCAATTTTTTAAAAAATAATAAAAAATAACTCTTGTCAATGTTAGGGAGCAGTCAATGTTAGGGAGCAAAATGATTTTATCAGAATATTAAAAATGTAGCAAATGGCCATTTAAAATATGTATGGCATTTATAAACTGAACAATTTTGTTTGTATGATTATTTGATACCCTTTGGGGAGGAAAGCGTTAAAATTGTAAGAAAATCATTGAAAAGGTTATTTTGCATTTTTTATTTTCAGATAAATCCTGTTTACGTTCGTTTTAGAAATATTTAGATGCGAACCATTCCTTCTTTATTCGTTGACCTCTAACTGTAAATGAATTGATGTATCGTTATATACACTTTTTGATGATGTCATCAGTTCACAATCCTAAATTGTGGATGATAAATTATCTGAACTGATATATAGGCTTGAGAAATCTCCGACATCCTTCAGTTCTATGATTTGATATTTTCCTAGTATTAAAGTAAGAGAGTTAGTCTCGCACTTATCTTTACGACCGGGTATCACCTGATAGCTGGCACAAACGCTATGAAGGGCTCATTGCGCAGTTACATGTATGATAGTAGATTTTTACACGTATACTTCAATTTGTCAATACTCAGACAATGCAGTATATAACCGATCTCTGTTATATGTGTACCACTTGCTAATGATACTCTAAAGCCCGGTATACACCAATGAGACAAGTTGGGACCTCCATAGACTTAACATGGCGTGGGACCTAGTGGGACCTTTTGGGATTTTGCCCCATGAAGTCCGTGGGAATCAATGGGACTCCGTCGGATTTTGCCCCAACTTGCATATAATCTTGCCCCATCGAGTCCCATGAGGTCCCACGTTGGACTCGATGGGATTCGATGGGGCAGGATGGGGCAAAATCCCACGGAGTCCCATCTTGCCCCATCGAGAATGAACATGTTCATTCTTTCCATGGGGCATCGTGGGATTTCCGATCAGGTCACATGTTATGTGAAGCCCAACATACACCAATGGGGCAAGGCAAGGGGTTTAAAATAATCATTCAAACAATATTGTTTAGTTTATAAATGCCATACATATTTTAAATGGCCATTTGCTACATTTTTAATATTCTGATAAAATCATTTTGCTCCCTAACATTGACTGCTCCCTAACATTGACAAGAGTTATTTTTTATTATTTTTTAAAAAATTGAATAAAAGACGGCGTATCTGTTTGAAGTAAGAAATATTTTAATCGGTATTTAGACTATCTTGGATAATAATTAGAAGCCTTCGTTAAATTACGTTAAAAAGTTATAATGGAAAAACGATCATTTTGAGTGTAGGGCGTTCGCGCCTTTTTTAGTAACTTCGTATTCGATTATAAAAGACTTCCGCCGAATTTAGTACAGAAGCGTGATTGACATTGTCATTGCATGTGCTAGTACATTTTCTCTGCGAATGAGCAGTTTTTCAGTAAAAAAATATTTTGTGTGAAAATATTGAAATTTATTGTAAAAACGACCTGCTCCCTAACATTGACCAAATCAGGCGATGACATCCCGTGTGATTACCACGGTATTTAGCTCTCTCTTAACTCTTAATTATTATGATCATCCATAGCCATAGCACTTATTTTTCTTCTCATTTAAGTATAACTTTATTAATTAATTTGTAAAATCTTATGAGTAAGTCAATAGATTTAGACATTTATAATGCTATTTTTTTTTCAGGCTGAAGTACTCCAAGATCCACCGTAATTACAAACGTGCCCACAAAGACAACGACCCAAGCTATAACACCCGACCACGATTCAAGACCGCCTCCTACAACACACACAAACTGGTAATGCTACCTAGCTTAGCTAGAAGGTCCCAAGTCCTTGTAAAGGCAGAGGGCCAGTTTGTTCAAAAAGGCAAAATTAAAGTGATGTGATTATTCAAATATTTCACATGATTTAACAACACCATCATAACAATTGCTTCCACAAAAAGACATGTATATTAAGTGGATGATGGACTTATCACCAATAACTTTGTGTGGAGAATACGTCCTCATCGATTCGGAATTGTTCCAAAAGTTTGATGCATTCAAGAAACATTTAAACACTATTAGGAGAAATGTTAGAAAAGAATACGTAGTGTTTTTTTTTACAAGAACTTTGTATAAATTTATCAGAAAAAAGTTCATTCCTTTGGAACAAAGGACAATGGGAAGATTAGTGCTTCTAACAGAAGAGGAAACGAGCAGATTCGAGGAATGGAAACGCGAATGCAGAGAGAAGAATGAATTTTGAATGAAATTTGACAAGCAATTGGCAAGCAGTGCGTGCTGCTCTTATCACTCTGTACAAGTCCGCGGCTCAAGACCTTTTGATGCAAATGGTATGTATACATATACATATATATAACATATATATACTGTATTTCTTGTCTGTGTACTTCATTATATTTAATTAGTTAAAAATTTACAGGGACGTATGTACATATTCTTATATATTTATAATTGAATCTGGATGTAATGAAATGATATATTAGTCAGTGCAATGATAAATCTAATTTTTTCATGACAATGCCATTGCTGCTATTTGTATGTGTAGCACGGTAATTGAATATTGAATTTATACACATCCATCCAATGGAATTTATCATCATTGTTTATGGCCCTTGATTACCACAGTATTTAGCGATCTCTTAACTCTTAATTATTATGATCCTCCATAGCACTCTTAGATTTATTTTTCTTCTTATTTAAGTATAACTTTATTAATTAATTTGTAAAATCTTATGAGTACGTCAATAGATTGAGACATTTATAATTCTATTTTTTGTTTCAGGCTGAAGTACTCCAAGATCCGCCATAATTACAAACGTGCCCACAAAGACAATGACCCCAGCTATAAAACCAGACTATGATTTAAGACCACCCCCTTCAACACACGCAAACTGGTAATGCTACCTAGCTTAGCTAAAAGGTCCCAAGTCCTTGTAAAAGCAGAGGGCCAGTTTGTTCAAAAAAGGCAAAATTAAAGTGATGTGATTATTCAAATATTTCTCATGATTTAACAACAGCATCCTGATAACAATTGCTTCCACAAAAAGACATGTATATTAAGTGGATGACGGACTTATCACCAATAACTTTGTGTGGAGAATACTTCCTCATCGATTCGGAATTGTTCCAAAAGTTTGATGCATTCAAGAAACATTTAAACACTATTAGGAGAAATGTTAGAAAAGAATATGTAGCATTTTTTTTTGACAAGAACTTTGTATTCATTTATCAGAAAAAAGTTCATTCCTGTGGAACAAAGGACAATGGGAAGATTAGTGCTTCTAACAGAAGAGGAAACGAGCAGATTCAGATTCGAGGAATGGAAATGCGAATGCAGAGAGAGAGGAACTACAAAGAAATTTGACAAGCAATTGGCAAGCAGTGCATGCCGCTCTTTTCACTCTGTACAAGTCCGCGGCTCAAGACCTTTTGATGCAAATGGTATGTATACATATACATATATATACTGTATTTCTTGTCCGTGTACTTCATTATATTTAATTAGTTAAAAATTTACAGGGAGGTATGTACATATTCTTATATATTTATAATTGAATCTGGATGTAATGAAATGATATATTAGTCAGTGCAATGATAAATCTAATTTGTTCATGACAATGCCATTGTTGCTATTTGTATGTGCAGCACGGTAATTGAATATTGAATTTATACACATCCATCCAAGGGAATTTATCATCATTGTTTATGGCCCTTGATTACCACAGTATTTAGCTATCTCTTAACTCTTAATTATTAAGATCCTCCATAGCCAAAGCACTCTATTCGATTTATTTTTCTTCTTATTTAAGGATGTTCCCTGGACGAAGTTGAAAACGATGAACACCAACCCCTAATTTTTCTTTTAAAAATGTGAAGTACATAGCATAACTAAGTGTTTCTGTGAGTTTAAGAAAAAGTTAAATATTCAAAAGTGTGTTTTGGGGTGAAAACCTGATTTTTAACATGGGTTTCAATGAGAAAGTGCCACGCCCACTTTTGTCAAATATTGACACTTTAGAGGCCTCTTGCTCAGAAAAAAGCACACTAACATATGGTTTTTAAAGTTTTAATATTCTTTGTTGCCCGTGAGAATCCCAGAAAACCATTTTTGAGAAAAAGTTAAATACTATTGAATATTTTCCTATCTGACCAGGGAACATCCTTAAGTATAACTTGATTAATTAATTTGTAAAATCTTATGAATACGTCAATAGATTGAGACATTTATAATGCTATTTTTTGTTTCAGGCTGAAGTACTCCAAGATCCGCTGTAATTACAAACGTGCCCACAAAGACAACGACCCCAGCTATAACACCCGACCACGATTCAAGACCGCCTCCTACAACACACGCAAACTGGTAATCCTACCTAGCTTAGCTAGAAGGTCCCAAGTCCTTGTAAAAGCAGAGGGCCAGTTTGTTCAAATAAAAAGGCAAAATTAAAGTGATGTGATTATTCAAATATTTCACATGATTTAACAACAGCGTCATGATAACAATTGCTTCCACAAAAAGACATGTATATTAAGTGGATGACGGACTTATCACCAATAACTTCGTGTGGAGAATACTTCCTCATCGATTCGGAATTGTTCCAAAAGTTTGATGCATTCAAGAAACATTTAAACACTATTAGGAGAAATGTTAGTAAAGAATATGTAGCGTTTTTTTTGACAAGAACTTTGTATACATTTATCAGAAAAAAGTTGATTCCTTTGGAACAAAGGACAATGGGAAGATTAGTGCTTCTAACAGAAGAGGAAACGAGCAGATTCAGATTCGAGGAATGGAAATGCGAATGCAGAGAGAGGAACTACAATGAAATTTGATAAGAATTTGATAAGTCCAGTCCAAAGTTATATCAAATTTCAGGTCCAAGTCAAGGTCCAAATCCAGGTCCAGTCCAAGTCCATGATCCAAGTCCAAGTCAGGGTCCAGGTCAAAGTCAAAATCCAGGTCAGGTCCAAGTCTAGGTCCAGATAAAATTCCAGGTCAGGTGTAGTCCAAATCAAGTCCTGTACTAATCCATTCTATTCTAAACCTTGTAACAGATAGGAACTCACAGATCAACAACTGAATACAGGAGAATTGAGCTGGGGTCATACAATTTTTCAATATTTGGCATATTTCGAGTCTACAAGCCGGTGTTTATTTAGTTGGAACTCCCTGATACCCAGCAGGTTAACATAGAATACATGCCTCTAGAATAGTTCATCCAGGAGATCAGGATGGATCCATACCAATGAGAACCAATCCCAGATGATCATGTACAGTAAAATTCTAAATGTTTGTGAGTTCTTTGAATTTAAAAAATAAGCAATCAAATGACCAAATTGAAACAGTTTATGTAAAAATAGAAACATTTGGTGATAAAAATGAATATGTTTCAAGTTCCTTATCTCTACTGGTCAATCTTTTTACATTTAAGTAACTGTATATACACTTAGGATACTGTAGATACACTTAATTTGAGGTCTTATCATTTGCCTTTGTACATTTATTATTAAATATTTAGAGATTTAATGACACGTCGTTTTTAGAACTACTACAATTGCCTAAATCAACTGAATGTTCCTACCAAGATTTCAACTTAATTGAACAATTGCCAAGATGCATTTTTGCCTTAAGAAGACTATTTTCCATTGGACCATTCCAACCAATGTTGGTGCCAAAAACAATGTCTGAAGACTTCCTTCATGGCACTTCCTGTAGATTTGCCAATCAGAACAGTTCTGAAAAAATTATTAAGGGATGTGCTTTCAAAACATATGGAGAATATTGAAAAATTTATGTGCTCCTTAAATGATATATAAATGTAGGATTTAAAGTCTTTAGTTAGGATAAGATAGGATTATTTTAACAGGCGAGGACAATGGACAATCACAATTAATGTATTTATGTGTATTTATTACACATTGCTATACTGTTTACTGTTTTTTTAAATGAGACAACTAAAATATGGGAAGTAAATCTAGAACAAAAAATGTGAGTAAAAAGAGAAATCTCCATACAAACCAGCATCAGGAACCAAAATCATAGAACCTGAAAAGTTAAAAAAAAGATGAGCCATGTTAATCTCCTGCTGCCAAGTTGAAGCAAAAACAGTTTGAGGAAAATGTAGAACTTTCTTGTAATCGTTTTATTGATATACTTTTACTTCATAATTTGATGTACCAGTTTAGCTGCCCTCATTGTGAGGCTAAGCACATTGGTTCAAAGATGAGTGAAAAATGTATTTGACTATATTCAACATTGTCATTTTTATGTTCTGGATGTGGAATGGAATTGACTCGTCTCCCTACTTGAGAGAAAATCCATTCAAATGGTAACCTATTTGACATCAAAAGGCGATTTGAGATGGCGTCAACTGCAACAGGAATAGACCAGATAGAATCTGCAAGGTTTTTCGCCAATATTAACACTACCCAACCTAAGTCTAAGAAATGCTGGAATAGACACACCAAAAGGATTCACAAAGAAACACATTGTATAGCTAGACAAGTATGTCTAGAGCAATTAAAGAAACCGGGACACTTGCTGAGCCTGAATCACAGGACAATGTCATTATTAATATTTCACTCTCTGTGGATGGTTCGGGACAGAGCCATTACTGTTACCTGACTTGAGAGTGTGAAGTCACAGAAGTTGAAGTTCTTTCAAATTATTGCAATACTTGTGTGACAGATGCACATTCTGAGAATGGTAAGCTCTTCATATAGTTAATGGTGAATTCGAGCAAAACCACGATGGCAGTGCAGGGGCCATGGAGCTTGCAGGTGTTGAAACAATTTGCTGCCGATCATTGCTTGATCTTTTAGCAAAGTGACCAAGGCTGACCCCTTATTAATCCAACGGCAGAGATTATAAAGTATGAACATGTAGCATTTTTCAGAGGTCAGGGAAGGTAAAACATATGAGCCTGAAGTACAGTTGACTGGAGATAAGTTGGGGGGGGGGGGGCATTTTGTGTATTGTTGAAGCTTGGTCAATTGTTACTATAAGTGCGGGGTCATGCTTATTCTAATTATGGTATGTAGTTGTTAAAATGTATGGGGGGCAACCGATTTATCAATGAATTATATGATGTGGTTTATCGTGGGAGGGGGGGAGGGCAACCCTTAATAATATGATTCCCAGAATGACCCTACTCCACTTGTTTCAAGTTTTCTATAGAAAAAATTTTGCTTGGCAATACTCAGGAAAAATATGTATTTGCTTGACATATTCTGTCACATAAAAATTGGGTGACAGTTGGAAGGCCCGCCCTGGTACATATATTATACATATAATTTGAGGCAACTCCATTCATTTATATGCTATTTCTTACATTTCAGGGGTCATTTCAAAGCTGCAGATAATAATTGCTGATAACTTAACCAAAGCCAACTGGCTGCCCATTAAAGCAGCGCGGGTTGAGATGTATTGGGTGACAGCCTACTCCATGTGGATGAAAAAAGTATGTATATATAGGCCTTTACATGTATATCTTATTATTGACATGTTTGATGTTATGGAATGATATATGAGTCAGTACAATGCTAAATCTAATTTGTTCATGGCAATGCCATTTATGTTAATTCACTCTGTAGCACGTTAATTGAATATTGAATTATCACACATCCATCCACAGCAATTTACCATTATTGTTTATGGCACTTGATTATCGCGGTATTTAGCTGCCGATCATTGCTTGATCTTTTAGCAAAGTGACCAAGGCTGACCCCTTATTAATCCAACTGCAGAGATTACAAAGTACGAACATGTAGCATTTTTCAGAGGTCAGGGAAGGTAAAACATATGAGCCTGAAGAAGTACAGTTGACTGGAGATTAGTGGGGGGGGGGGGGTATTTTTGTGTATTGTTGAAGCTTGGTCAATTGTTATTATATGTGCGGGGTCATGCTTATTCTAATTATGGTATGTAGTTGTTAATATGTATGGGGGCAACTGATTTATCAATGAATTATATGATGTGGTGTATCGTGGGAGGGGGGGAAGGCAACCCTTAATAATATGATTCCCAGAATGACCCTACTCCACTTGTTTGAAGTTTTCTATAGAAAAATTTTGCTTGGCAATACTCGGGAAAAATACGTATTTGTGTGACATATTCTGTCACATAAAAATTGGGTGACAGTTGGAAGGCCGGCCCTGGTACATATATTATACATATAATTTGAGGCAACTCCATTCACTTATATGCTATTTCTTACATTTCAGGGGTGATTTCAAAGCTGCAGATAATATTTGCTGATAAACTAACCAAAGCCAACTGGCTGGCCATTAAAGCAGCGCGGGTTGAGATGTATTGGGCGACAGTCCACTCCATTTGGATGAAAATAGTATGTATATAGGCCTATATATCTTATTATTGACATGTTTGATGTAATGGAATGATATATTAGTCAGTACAATGGTAAATCTATGATGTTCATGACAATGCCATTGATGTTAATTCACTCTGTAGCACGTTAATTGAATATTGAATTTACACACATCCATCCAAAGCAATTGATCATTATTGTTTATGGCACTTGATTATTGTGGTATTTAGTGATCTTTTAACTGATTTATTATGACCCTCGATTGCCATAGTAGCACCATATTCATTTAACTTTCTTTTCTCATTTAAGTATGACTTTATTAAGGCTGCACATCAGAAAAAGTTAGGGACTCATTATGGACTTGATGATGTTAACAGGAGACTTGTTTTGTCAACTTTCGCCACTGGGGGTAACCGATTTCTTGATTTCTAGGAAATATGAATATGCCTCAGTCACAAGCAAAGCTACACGAAGGTAGCTAAGCAGTCTATGGCATCTGCTGACAGAGGCTTGGGTTTCTATCGACCCAGACTGTCATTATCTCTGACATTATCTTTGGATGGTTCCTGGCAACGTAGAGGCTTCTCAAGCAAAAATGGAGTAGTAACGGAGCTTGCTGTCAATGGGCAGAACTGTAAAGTTGCGGACACTCACACTATGTCAACTATTGGAACCAATTTTTGAAGAACAAAAGTAAACTGTCAGAGGCTGACTCTACAGTTTGGAAAGAGGCTCACATAGTTGCAAATGAGTGCCAACAGAACCACATGGTGCTGGTTCAATGGAGTCACCTGGTACAGCAACTATTTTCATGTGGTCGCTAGTTGAACATAGCAAGATAAACTGGATTCTTAAGAGATTGAGATAGCAATGCATATAAAAACTGTCGCAGAAGCAGATCCCCCAATATATCCAGATGTGGATATAACAAAACTAGAGTGCACAGGCCACATACAAAAGAGGATGGGGAAACGCCTGTTAGATAAGGTGTCACAACTGAAAGCAACCCCTTTGTTGATGATAATGGTAAGCCAGTGAAAGGCATCGGTGGCATAAATAAATTGACCAAAAGGCTATCCATTCAAGGACATTATTGAGCGGCGATACGAAAGAACAAAGCCAATGTAGATGGCATGAATCGGAATATTTGGTAATTCTCTCTAATTAGACCAAAAAGTGGGGTTTACTCATGAAAATAAAAACATTTGAAACATACATTTTAGGTCAAGGTTGGAGAACCAATCCCAGATGATCGAGTACAGTAAGATTTTAAATTTTATTTCGTGTTGAAGCTTTGGTGCGCAGGAGACTGAATAATCCAACATGTACCCAGCAACTTAGTCAATGGAATCGACCAAAGACTAAGAAAGGAGAGCCCAAACAAATACTGTTAAACGGGTAATTTTGACACTGGGAAATTTTAGCGATTTTTCAATTTTAGGGTGTTTAAGCGCGGGAAATTTTAGCGAAATGAAGATTAATCTTTAAAAATCAAATTAGCGAAATGCATTAGAAATTTTATTATTTATGGCAGAAGAATGAATAACGGACAGGCCAGAGGAATTATCAAAATGTAAGACTCCTAACACACATGGTATTGGTCCAAACTGGATGGATGGCTATTTATCCTTCAGATATTGAAAGAAACATACGATTTAAAAATATTTTCCTTTTTCGAATTACAAACCGGAAGTCGAGCACTGAACGAAAAGCTCCTTTAATACTAGTATTCATGTAGTTTCCTGGGAATTTGCAAATTTTAGCGCCGGTTTATTTTAACGAATTGAAGTTTTTAGCGAAACTATAGCGATAGCTAACATCGCTAACAATTACCCCTCACTAACAATACCCATTTTACAGTAGTTGACATTAACTTTTCAAAGTCTAAATTCAATGTTATGAATAAACGACCATTTCTCAGTAAAGAACGGAAGATTTATAAACCTCACCCCATCAAAAAATCCTAAATTAAAAGTTAGTGGTGCAGAAGTAGAGCAGTTCCGTGCCACCTTTTTGGATAAATTGAAAGCGACTCAACCAAATGCTGTAGTTTTCCGTGGCTTAGAAGTAGCCCCTAAGAAGCCCCTCCATCCCCC